CAGGTGTGTCATCTCCCATGTGTATCTGTGCACGCCCAGGTGTGTCATCTCCCATGTGTATCTGTGCACGCCCAGGTGTGTCACCTCCCAGGTGTATCTGTGCACGCCCAGGTGTGTCATCTCCTATGTGTATCTGTGCACGCCCAGGTGTGTCATCTCCCAGGTGTATCTGTGCACGCCCAGGTGTGTCATCTCCCATGTGTATCTGTGCACGCCCAGGTGTGTCACCTCCCAGGTGTATCTGTGCACGCCCAGGTGTGTCATCTCCTATGTGTATCTGTGCACGCCCAGGTGTGTCATCTCCCAGGTGTATCTGTGCACGCCCAGGTGTGTCATCTCCCTGCTGTGTCGTGACCTCGTCTAGCCTGCCTGCCTTCTCTCTGCGCTCACCTCCCTGGTGTGATTGTGACCTCTATCTAGGTCACGTGATGTACACACAGACAGGTCACGTGTGGTACACACAGACAGGTCACGTGAGGTACACACAGACAGGTCACGTGAGGTACACACAGACAGGTCACGTGAGGTACACAGACAGGTCACGTGTGGTACACATAGACAGTTTGTACCCGGTTATCCAAGCCTTGCTGTTGATGACGTCATTTCTGTACTTTTTTTTCCTCTACAGTGTTTTTCTGTCAAGTGTGAACTCTCTCAATGTGTTCGCGAACACAACACGTTTATTGTACATAGTTATTATATAAATTCTATCCATGTTCTTGAAAGATATATATATATATATATATATATAGATCTATATATATACGTTTTAACATTCACAAAGTTGCCATAGTAACTGATACTGCTCAAATATGTGTCATCGAAGAGTGCATTATAGAGAAGTTTTTTTGTTGTTGCTGTTGTTTGTGTTGTTGTTGCTGTTGTTGTTAGAGACGTTTTTATTGTTTGTGTTGCTGTTGTTTGTGTTGCTAGAGACTTATTTATTGTTTGTTTTGCTTTTGCTCTTGTTGTTAGAGACTTTTATTATTTGTGTTGGTATTGTTTTTGCTACTGATGGTGACGATAGTGGTAGGGTTTGTGGTTGTGATGGTGGTTGTTTTGTGAAAGATAATGATTGGCTCAGGCGTTGTCTGTTTTGTGAAAGATAATGATTGGCTCAGGCGTTGTCTGTTTTGTGAAAGATAATGATTGGTTCATGCGTTGTCTGTTTTGTGAAAGATAATGATTGGTTCAGGCGTTTTCTGTTTGATTAGGTCGTGGAATAAAGCTGTGTCGGGCTCGTTGGTTCCCAACTTGTGGCTGCAGACGATGCGTGGGTCTTAGTGTTCTTTGTGGCTTGGTTTGTGTTGGTGAGGGAGCATGTGTGAGTGTGTGGGGGTGGGGTGGGGTGGGGGTGATGCTTGGTTTGTGTTGGTGAGGGA